ATTAAAGACTCTGAAAGCGAGATGGTGGGCGAGGAGCCCTGGCACACCCAGCAGTGTAATGAGTGCAAATCTACACAGCACATTTCCACTTGACCCAAGAAAATAATTCCACATATTGACATTTCCACTTGACCCAAGAAAATAATTCCACAGCATGATATATTATTTACCGTGTAGACTCTGCCTATGCCAGAAAGGAGGGCATCCAGGACACGTGCAATATCAGACCCCCAACACTCCAACTTTTCCACTTTGTGCCTTAACCTAGAGTAGCAATACTCACATCATTTTTTATACATTGCACATCATGATATCCTTGTGGGTGGTTGCAAAGTGGGAAGTATAAAAGATGGATTCACACAGGGGCATGTACTGCTCTCTTCTTGCATACACGGATATGACGGCTAGATACACATACATGCGTATGAGTGTCATTTTTGAGATATGGTGGGACTGTGGGAGTCCACGTGAGTGTGAGTCGTAGTAGGCATGTATGATTCCGGCTGAGAGTTTGTACATGGGGTGGGCATGAGTTGGTGAGAGAATATGTGTGTGTATAAGTATGTGAGTATGCGTGACTGTGTATGTGATTTATATGGAGGTGTGTTCATGTGTTTGTATGTGTGTGCATGCGTGCGTGTGCTCACATGCATGTGCGGTAGAGGCTGCCCACCGTATGGCTCTCGTCCCAGGCTTGGAAATTGAGAGGCATTGGATAGTGGGCCTGGATAAGATGTAGATTTGTTTGAAGGAGAAAACTAACGGGTAATCTGAACTCCTATTTTATATTTCTTCATGTGTTACAAAAGCAACAGTTCTCATTACTGAAAATACATCAAAAAACAAGTATGGAAGACTGTGGTAACCATCCAGTGCTCTTGAGTTGCATATGTAGCATTTGTTTCATAGAAAAGGAACCATCTGAGGCTTAATTTAGACTCCCAAATTAATTGGCATTGAGTGCCTGTCTTTGAGTTTCAACTTTTGAAAACCCTCAGGTATTTTTTCTGGTACCAACTTTTTGCTTCTAATTTAATGGTAGTTCACCTCTGTGGTCTGAAGATTAGGAAGAAATCACTCTTGGGTGGAAGAACTTGTCAGCAAAGCAGATCTAGGGAGAGACACCCACTCGTTCCCAGTCCCTCACCTGTCAGACCTCTGCGTTTTGCTCCCCTCCACGTGAGACCTGTCTGCCTTCAGGAATGGAAAACAGCCTGTACCAGTCATTTCAATGGTCCCTTTGTAGTTATTAACTGGAAATTGGTAATTGGTTGCGGTAATTACCAACTTCAGAAAACAAGTTCTTTATAAATGCTCTCAGATCCCCAGCCGGCGCTGTCATGGCCACTAAAGGTGAAATGATAATTGCAATTCTGAAGGGAGGGGAGGTCACGATCACTGCCCCATATCACAGGGTCTCGTGGCTGCCTCCCTCCCACATGCACGAGCCCTCATGACCTTGCACTGAGCTCACCATCCACACAGAGGGATGTTTCTGGGAAAATATTTTCCATTTCGGTCTGAGAAGCAAGTCTATAAGGTATAGACGTCTATGGGGAGTAAATGTGGGTAAGTGATCGTATATGAAACGGGGATTATTCTGGGTTTGAGACGGATCCAGTGTCATAGCCACAGAAACATGAGCTGGGTTAGTAGAGAGAGATGGGGTCCTAGACTTTACCTAATGCCTGCTGGCTCCTGGTGTGATTTAGTGTAATCCACAATGACAATGATTGTAGGTATTTTGTCCAGTGAAAAGGAATCCTGATTTTTCAGGTAATTTGGGCCGGAGTTCTTTTTTTTTTTTTAACGTTTATTTATTTTTGAGAGACAGAGACAGAGACAGAGGGTGAGCACGGGAGGGGCGGAAACAGAATCGGAAACAGGCTCCAGACCCTTAGCTGTCAGCACAGAGCTCGACGTGGGGCTCGAACCCACAAACTGTGAGATCATGACCTGAGCACAGAAGTTGGACCCTTAACCAACTGAGCCACCCAGTGCCCCATTTTTTCCCCTGGCCTGTAGTTCTGAAAGCAATTGCTTTCAGCCTACCTTACAGGAATCAAACACCAACTTCGTAGCATTACTAGAGGTGTGCCTGTAATCCATGTTTATAATAAGGACTAGGATAAATAAATCTGTACGAATCATGCAATCTTGCGAACAAACAGGATATCCCAATGACAACTGCCAGAATAGAAATGTTTTCTCTAACTCTGAGTATGATGTGCTTAATGGAGACAGTAGTATCTCTGCTGAAAATATCATGGTCTGTGGATTATGGTGAGACTGTTTTCTTCTGGAAGCTATTGAAAATAGCATTTAAGGAAAAGACAGTTCTGTAATAATGTGTTTCAAAGAGTAGCTATTAGGCTCACATGTATCCTATGGTGTTTTCTCTGGTATCAGTTGTAAATTCTATAACATCAATTTGTAAAGCACACAACGGTCCTGTATTAGAGTTTACAATTTGCATATGTCATATTTTAATATATTTCAGAGAACTTACCACATGGTTAATAGTTCCTAGCCTGGTATTAATAAATAAGCATATGATCTAAAATTACTAATACTTCAGTTTTTACCTTACTCTATTTTATCCCATATTAGAATTCAACATCCCATACTTCAGGGCAAGACATGAGATTATGATAGGTTTCCTTACTTTTGTTCTTGACATAAAGGCAAATGCCCCAAAGGTTTTTTCTTTCTGTTTCCATCCTACTCTTGAGTCATTCTTGCTTGCATTCGTTCAATTCAGTTTGTCATGGGACAGGTTCCCATAACACGAATCTGCAATCAGTGCATCTACATTTTATTAAATCTCTAAAGCTTTATTCATTTTGATATTGGTCTACAGAACAAATCTTTACACATCGTGAAAGTTATTATAACAAAAATTATAAAGTAACATACTATCAAGCTAAAATAAAAAGGCAAAGCTGAAACCAAAACTCTATATATAGATTTTTCAAAGAACACAGCTGTCTAGCTTACTTAGCATAGCATAGCCGTTAGATGCACTGTCTCTGCAAACAACTCAGCCAGATTCAAGTCCACACTTTGCCCCAAGTACGGTATGAATTTAGACAAATCACCTATCCTGTCTGTATTCTCCTTGTCTTTAAAATGAAAGGGATAGTAGTGATGACTCAGAGTTTTGTTTAAAAAGTAAGTTACAACATGTATGAACCTCATAGCAATGGCTCGTACATTGTCATTTGCTTTAAACTCTTGGGGCGCCTGGGTGGCTGAGTCAGTTGCACATCTGACTTCAGCTCAGGTTGCGATCTCATGGTTCTTGAATGTAAGCCCTACAATGGGTTTGCTGCTGTCAGCACGGAGCCTGCTTTGGATATCCCAATGCTCACTCTCTCTCAAAACTGATTAAACAATTTTTAAAGAAAGGTTATATACTCAACTCTTGAAAATCTCTTTAAAAATTAATATTTCTCTTGTTAACCTTTATTGATATACAATTGACATGCCAAAAATCGCACATATTTAATGTATATATTTTGATGAGTTTGGAAATCTGCTTACCTCTTTGATGCCATCACCGCAATCAAGGTACTAAAATATCCAGCACTTCCAAAACATTCCTTGTGTTCCTGTGTGTGTGTGTGTGTGTGTGTGTGTGGTCAGAGCACCTCACTTAAAGTATAGGCTCTTTTCATAATTGAAAGTGCACAATACTGTACTACTAACTATAGTCACCATACTGTACAACAGATCTCTACAACTCACTCATCTTGTATAACTGAAACTTTACACACATTGAACAACAATTCCCCATTCCCCCTTCCTCCAGCCCCTGGCAACCACTGTTCTATGCTCTGCTCCTATGGGTTTGACTATTTTAGATTCCGCATGTAGGTGAAACCATACCATATTTTTCCTTCTGTGATTCGCTTATTTCACTTAGCATAACGTCTTCTATGTTCATCCAAGTAGGCGTTCCTTCTTTTTGAAGCTTAGATAATATCTCATTGTATGTATATACTCCACTTTCCTCATCCATTCATAGTCAATGGGCATTTCAATTGCTTCCATAACTTGGCTATTGTGAATGATGCTGTAATGAATGTGGGCATGCAGGTACCTCTTTGAGACCTTGGTTTCAATTCTTTTGGATATATACCAAGAAGTGGGATTTCTGGATGATGAGATAGTTCTATCACATTTTTTTTGAGGAACTTCTATACTTTTCCATGGTGGCTGCAATATTCTACATTTCTACCAGTAGTGTATAAGGACTCCAATTTTTCCACATCCTTACCAACACTTGTTATCTTTGGGGCTTGGAAGATACTAGTCATTCTAACAGATGTGAGATAACATCTCATTGTGGATTTGATCTGCATTTCCCTGATGATTAGTAGAGTCGACCACCTTTTCATATACTTGATCATTCATATGTTCTTTGGAGAAATGTCGATTCCTAAAGTTGCCCATTTCTTAATTGGGTTATTTGGTGGTTTCTTCTATTGAGTTGTTGGAGATTCTTATGTTTTGTATATTAAACCCTTGTCAGATGAATGCTTTGCAAGCATTTTGTCCCATTCCATAGACTGCCTTTTCACTTTAGTGATTATTTCCTTTGCTCTGCAGAAGCTTTTTAGTTTTATATAATCCCACTTGTGTTGTTTTGGTTTTGCTGCCTCTGCTGTTGCTATCAGATCCAGGAAATCATTGCCAAGACCAATGCCAAGAAGATTTTCCCCTATGTTTTCCTGAAGGGGTTTTACAGTTTCACATCTTATGTTTAAGTCTTTCATCCAGTTTGAGTTGATTTGTTGTGTATGGTCAAAGATAGGGGTCCAATTTCACCCTTTTACATATGGATATCTGGTTTTCTCAACACCATTTCGAAGGAGAAACTAATGATAAGTGGAGAATATTGGATTTTAGTTGACAAGACGCATGATGCCCACACCTCATATTCCCATGCAGGATCCTCTGGTTCTGAAGATAAATCTCAGTGACTGGAAACCGGCAGAATGGCCTCCAGGGATTTGGTCATAGGAGTGATCTTCTTAACCCAAACCGTGGTCGGAATCTTGGGGAATTTCTCTCTTCTTTACTATTATATCTTCCTCTCTTTCACTGGGTGCAGGTTGAGGCCCCCAGATTTGATTGTCAAACACCTGGTTGCAGCCAACTCCTTATCCCTCCTCTGTAAAGGAGTCCCCCAGATGATGGCAGCGTTCGGGTGGAACAATTTTCCAGGTGATTTTGGATGCAAACTTCTTTTCTATCTTCACAGAATAGGCAGGGGTGTGTCCATAGGCAGCACCTGCCTCTTGAGTGCCTTCCAGGCCATCACAATCAGCCCCCAGAACGCCAGGAGGACAAAACTTAAAAGGAAAGCTCTCAAGTACATTGACTTCTCTATATTCCTGTGCTGGACCGTCTACATGCTGGTAAATATCATTTTCCCTATCCATGTGACTGGCAAACGGAACAACGTGAGCATCTCAATGAGAAAGGATTTGCAATACTGTTCGGGGACAACTAATAACAAAATCACACAATTGCTACATGCAGCGTTGTTATCATTCCCTGATGTGTTATGTTTAGGGATCATGGTCTGGGCCAGTGGCCACATGGTCTTCATCCTGCACAGGCACAGGCAGAGGGTCCAGCACATTCACAGCACTAATGTCTCCCCCAGATCCTCTCCTGAGTCCAGAGCCACCCAGAGCATCCTCGTCCTGGTGAGCACCTTTGTGTGTTTCTACTCCCTCTCCTCCATCTGCCAAGTCTTTATGGCTGTTTTCGATAATCCCAGCTGGTTGCTGGTGAACGTCTCTGCCTTGATCAGTGGATGTTTCCCAACTGCCTGCCCCTTTGTTCTCATGAACTGTAACTCCTGTGTGTCCAGGTTCTACCTTCCCTGGCTGAGGAACACAACATCCACGAAAGTGATAACAAACGCGTAAATTGTACGTTTTTGCACAGTGTACAGTTGTTACTTCATTCATTCCCCGAGCTGCCAGCATAATGACGCAACAATCACACCCCAGGAGAGTGGTCAGCAAGCCAGAATGAGCATCTGTCCCAATAAAAAACAATCAGTGGTAATAGTAAATGTAAATGAAATATTAATGCAATTATTATGAAAATACTTATGTAACTGAAATTTTGTTCACACTTCCAGTGAAATAGTTTGGAATCTGTGCAATTAAAAAATGTTCCTGAAACAATCTAGAGATTGTGAGGGAGTATTTGAGTGTTGTAATTTTTAATTTGACATACGAAATATATCCAGAAATTAACTACGCTTGGAATTGTTGGAAAAGTTGCAAGAGAAGTTAACATGTGAGACGGCCATTCAAGAAAGTGAAGAAAAGAATGTTCTCAAGTAATAATGAAGTAGGATGGGGTGATGGTGGAGTGCCAATTCAGGTTCAGTTAGGAACATTTGGGACTAAGTTATAAAATTTGTAGTTTAAACCTTAGGGAGACAGTAATCTTTAAAATATGATGACATGGAGGGATATTAGCACATTTAAGGCATTTAACATAGAAATGGACAAAGGGACCTGGCTTGGGACAAAGGAGAGCACAAAAACCTGTTGTCACTGATGAAAAAAGTGAGTGGGTGGCAATTTTAAAAAACACATCAGGCAACCTACTGAATGGGAGAAGATATTTGCAAATGATATATCTAATAAGGGGTAAGAGGTTAATGTTCAAAATATATAAGGAGCTCACACAGCTCAACCAAAAAATAATAATAATCTGATTTTAAAATGAACAGAGGAGTGGCATCTGGGTGGCTCAGTTGGTTAAGTGTTTGACTTTAGCTCAGGTCATGATCTCAGAGTGTGTGAATTCAAGCCCCACATCAGGCTCTGTGCTGACAGCTCAGAGCCTGGAGCCTACTTCAGATTCTGTGTCTCCCTCTCTCTCCCCCTCCCCTACTCTCACTCTGTCGCTCTCTCTCTCAAAAATAAATAAACATAAGAAAACTTTTTTAAAAAATGGACATGGGGGGCGCCTGGGTGGCTCAGTCGGTTGAGTGTCCGACTTCGGCTCAGGTCAACAAACTCACAGACTGTGAGTTCGAGCCCCGCGTCGGGCTCTGTGCCGACAGCTCAGAGCCTGGAGCCTGTTTCAGATTCTGTGTCTCCTTCCCCTGTTCATGCTCTGTCTCTCTCTGTCTCAGAAAAATAAAGGTTAAAAAAAAAATGGACATAGGACCTGAATCGACATGTTTCCAAAAAAGACACTCACGTGGCCAACAGACACATGAAAAGATGTTTCATATCACTAATCGTCAGGGAAATGCAAATCAAAACCACAATGAGATATCATCTCACACCAGTTAGAGTGGCTAGTATCAAAGATATAAGAAATAACAAGTGTTGGCAAGGATATAGAGAAAAGGGAGCCCTTGTGCATTATTGGTAGAAATGTCAGTTAGTGCAGCCACTTTAGTGGCCACCAGTAAACGGTATGGAGATTTCCACAAAGTATTAAAACCAGAAATATAATACAACCCAGTAATTCTACTTTTGAGTATATGCCCGAGGAAAATTAAAACACTAATTTGAAAAGATACACACAATGCTGCTGTTTACAGCATTATTTACAATAGCTAAGGTACGGAAGCATTCTGGGTGTCCATCAATAGATAAAAATGGGATATATATATACACGATGGAATATTACTCAACCATAAACAAGAATGAAATCATGTCATTTGTGACAACATGAATAGACCTAGAGTTTATTATGTTCCATGAAATAAATCAGAGAGAGAAGGACAAATACCATATGATTTCACTTATTTGTGGAATCTAAAAATCAAAAGAAATGAATGAATGAACAACAACAACAAAAGAGACACATACTCACAAACACAGAGAATGAACTGGTGGTTGCCAGTGGGGAGGCTGTAGAGGGATAGATGAAAGAAATGAAGGGGACTAAGAGGCACACACTTTCAGTGATAAAATAAATAATCCATGAGGATGGAGAGTTACAGAATAGGGAATATAGTCAATAATACAGTAACAACTGTGTGAGGCGACAGAAGGTGACCATACTTATCATGGTGAGCATATCATAATGTACATAGTTGTCAAATCACTACGTTGTACACCTGAAACTAATATGATATTTTGTGTCAACTCTACTTCAGTTAAAAATTTTGAAAAAGGAAAAAACCCCAAATACATGCCATCTGGGATAAACTGGCATGAATTTGTAGAAGGTAGGTTTTTCTTTAAAGTGTGAGGATGCCAGTTGGCCATGTTGGAATGAGGGAGATTTGGGAGGAGCACCCTCAAATGTCTAAGGTGAGGAAGTAAGGGGAGGCTTCCACTTTACTGAAATTCACTTCAATGGATAAAGAAAATGTGGTGTATCCATATACAATGGAACATTATCCAGCAACACAAAAGAAGGAAATCCTACCATTTGCAACAACACAGATAGCTCTCGAGGGCATTCTGCTAAGCAAATAAGTCAGATAGACAAAGATGCATATTTGACATATATGATATTGTTTGTATGTGGAATATAAATAAAACCAAACTCCTAGACAATAGAATGGTCATTGACAGGGATGGTGCCAGGGGAGATGGGGAGATGGTAGTCAAAGGGTACAAGCTTCCAGTTACAAGATGAATAAGTTTCTGGGGTTCTAATGTACAGCATGGTGACTATAGCTAACAATACTGTGTTATATACTTGGAAGTTGCTAAGAGAATAGATTTTAAACATTCCCAATACACCAAAAAAAGAATTACGTAATGAGATAAAGGTCTTAACTACCCCTGTTGTGGTATTCATTTTGCAATATATATGTGTATCAAATTGTCACGTTGTATATCTTAAACTTGCACAATGTTACATGTCAATTGTATCTCAATAAAACTGGGAGGGAAAAACACTCATTGTCTTCATGGTGCTTGCTTAAGATATTAGAATCCCTTCCATATTGTGGGAGGATGCCAATAGTTTTGCTTCTATTTTTCTTTTCTTTTTCTTTTCTTTTTTTTTTTGAGAGAGAGAGCACATGCAAATGGGGTAGGGGCAGAAGGAGAGATTGGGAGAAGAGGATCTTAAGCAGGTTCCATGCTCAGCATGGAGCTCAGTGTGGGGCTTGATCTCATCACCCCGGGATAATGACCTGAGCTGAAATCAAGAGTCCAAAGCTTACCTGATTGAGCCACCCAGGAGCCCCTCTATTTTTCTTACTTGGACCATTCCTGCTGGGCACTGCAAACCTTGTGCACACTGTGACTGCCAGCATGGCAGTGAAATTGGGGTCCTGGCCGAAGTGCTTGGGTGCAGCATGGGGTGCATCAATAAGTCCACCTCCCATCCTAAGGCTGGTTCATGAGCTCAGAGAGAATTCAGTTCAAGTCTTTTTTTATTTTTTAAGTTTGAGAGACACAGAGAGAATGCAAGTGGGGGAGGGGAGAAAGAGAGGGAGAATCCCAGGCAGGCTCTGTACTGTCAGCACAGAGCCCAACATGGGGCTTGAACTCACAAAACGACGAGATCATGACCTGAGCTGAAATCAAGAGTCAGATACTCAACCGACTGAGCCACCCAGGTGCCCCTTCAAATCAAGTCTTTAGATGGAAGGCCGGATGGATCCACATGGGCGGATGTCATCTCAGGTTTCCTGACAGGTCAGATCTATTCCTGGATATGTGGGTAGGCGTCAGCCTGGTAGGATGTTGTAGAAAAACACCAGTTAAATAAAATATGTTTTACCCTCAGTGAAGAGTAAAAAGACATCTCAAAAAAGGAAAAAGAGACCTAGGACCTATGGAAACATTTCACAGTAAAAGAAATGCAAATGGTCATTTCACATACACAGAGGTATCCAACCTCAAGGGGCGCCTGGGTCGCTCACTTGGT